GGTATAAGGATGAAAGAAAAAGCCTAGTATCCAAAACTAAGTAAGGGATTCAAGACTCCTAATACCTAATGCATGGATTGAATGCTGAGGTAAGACAGTTCAGCTCCCCCAAGGTGGCTAGGTAAAGCATAAAGGTCTAATCTAAAGCATATTGAAGTCAATACATGCCTTTACTTAACTGTAAAGGGCTTTGGATGAGGCTCAGTCTTCCTTCACAAGTGATGGTAACAAGAAAGTGTGATTCTGCAGTGCATCAGGGATCCTGGAGAGACTGATGCCTTTCCAGCTAGAACACCAATCTGAGGCAGGTAGAGGACTGGTACTGCCACCTTCATATTCACATCCGGCAGAAGTCCATCCTGTGATTTGCTTTTTCATATAGCAAGGAGCTATTTGGCCATGGTTTTTCCCTTATAAACTGTAATAGAGAAAAAGCTTGGAGAAATCTAGGATTACCTGCCCCAAAAGTTAGCAAGCTCCCATTCCATTTTCACAGGCCCCCAGACCAAGAGGTTATGAGATGCCATCACCTTCCTGTGAAGCATTTTACTGTATGTTCATCAGTTACAGAGTAACTTTAAGGGCAAGGTTTTACTTTTGTTTGACTTTCACTTAATGCTCAGCTTCTCTTGGGCAATCAGGAATGTTACCCCTTGGGATATTGCTTAAAACACTTGGACACTGCTCTGTAAAAGCTGCACAGCAGTTCCCATGATAGTGATTTTGGAGCCGATTTTGTCTCTCATTTTTATTTTCTCTTTTCAGGATGAAGTTTCCACACAGTGTCCTGGCCAAAGATGATTTGTTTTTGGATTATAACTTGAGCAAGAACTATTCTATTAATTTTTTAATATAAAAAATATGCATTTGCTACTAGCATGTGGAATTAAGTTCCTGCACTTTTTAGCAGTTCCACAGCTGAAAAAGCAGACATACAAATTCAATATGCACATGGTCCTCTCTGAGGTTTGTTCTAGCATCACTCACAGACAGTTAATAGGAATCCTGTTTTTGCAAGGAGGTCATGGACACTTATGGGGTGCCCTTGAATGCATGATCTGGCTTTACTTTTATGTAATTGTATACGGTTGGGGTTTTTTAGACTTTCACAATGCGTATGTAGGAACTTTTATAGTAACGAAAGAGAAGATCCATTTGAACTGGACTTCTTTTTGTAGTAGTGATTGGTTATGTCAATTGTACAAGCTAAGGCAAGGTTCCTCTGCTTGTTCGACTTTGGCAGGCTCATGTATTTGAAGGAAGACTTCTCTGAACGGGAGGTGGCAGGAACCAGCTGTGTGAGGAGCCTCTCCTATGGAGCAATGCTTGGTTCTGTGCTGGAAACCTTCTGTCCCAGGCAGGACTGGACGCAAGCCTGAGAGGAAAACGGGTAGCGAGCCAGTTTGTTTTCAACAAAACAAAGTTATGCAATATCATTTAGTTCTGACATGTTCCCAACATGCAGCAAATGAAGAACTCACTAAATACAGTATATCTCTGGCCGTATCATTTGAATATAACTGGTTTCCATGACAACCTCCACTTAACAGCTTGGCTGATATGAAATCATTCCTAGATGAGGGAGCTTTTGCCAAAAGCATTGGGATGCAACACTTTAATATCATGTTTTAGGTTTTTAAAAAAACATTTATTTAAGCCTCTGGAAGCAAATATCGACTAAAATACCTCCATCCTCACCTCTGCTCCAGCTCTCGGTTGATCACTTTATCTTCCTGGGAACCTTTCAGAAGCAGCTCTTGTGTTACTTAATATGCTTCTGAAGTCCCAGGCAGTGTTTCAAGAGCAAGTGATCGTGACACCAGCGTTTAGTAGAGAAATTCCATTTCATGGCTGTTGGCTCAGCCTGCAAGGCAGCAGAGCAGCAGCTGGGCACAGCAGCGCAGCAGCTGGGCACAGCAGCCAAGGCTTCTGCTCCAGCCATCCCTCAAGTCCAGAAAGGTTTATGCTCCATCTACCTCTGCCTCAGAGTGAGAAAGAGGAGCTTCAGCTGGGGAAAGGTGAAGCCCAACATTTCACACAGTTCATTTTGCATCGGGAGCACTGAACTAACAAACCCAGGTTATCTATTAGATCTGTTCTAGGGCGAGGTACCTGTTGCCTCAAAAATAGCTGTGAAATGCTTCCAGGGTGGAAATGCAATATGACTGCTCATATGGTGCTTGTTCCCCTCCTCCCTCCCAGGTGCCACATTGCATTAGAATACAGCTAAAATAAGCCTAATGCTTTCCTAGTATTTCTCATGTGCGCAGGCATTGCAGTTGCCACAGTGATGGTACACAGCTGTCAGTGGCAGAAAGGATGGTCCTGATGGTTTCAAGAGTCAATCTGCCCTTTCGAAACACCCTTCCTTATATCACAGGGATTTCCTTCTCTAGCTGGGCGCAGGGGCTGTGGGAAAACCTACTGGAAGAGGCAAATAACCTTTCAGGCATATGTAATGTACCCCTTGCTGTCAAGATTTTGGGATCAGCAGGGATTATAACAGCAGGGATTAAGATCTCAAGTAAAACCATGGAAAGAGTTATGAAGTATTTATTGTTTCTTCTGGTTACAGTGTGCCTTCTTCAGCTCTAATTAGCCCCAGCATGGAGTGACTGCTGTGCCAGATTGGTACCTGAAACTGGGTGCAGGCAAGCAGTGCTAGAACACCCAGAATGGGGCAGAATGGCATTCCCCACTTCAGTCTGTTGGGGCTTTTTTCTCCCCAGTTGTTACCTGGGAAAATTTCAGCTGTTACCCATCTGAAATCAGCTGAGCTAACGACTGCTGACTCCTGCTCTCACCCACACAGCCCTACTTTATAAGGCCTTAGCAGCAAATTACTTGTTCACCTGGAGAGCTCTGCAAGTGAAAGGCTGGGAGAAGGCATAAGGAATGGAGCCAGAAGCTGCTTCTATGGTGGTGAGCTTTAAGCGACTGATCACACCTTTGCAGCATCCTGTAGCATGGGACTGTGCCATAACACTGTTTATGGTAAATCTGCTTGAGAGGGTACAGAAGCACAGGAGACAGCATCACCAGGGTTTCTGCTAAAAGCAACCTTCAAGATATATGCAAATATAAATATATATTTAATAATTAAAGTCCTATAAATATCTCTCTGAAAATGCTGATAATTTCCTGGGACTTTCATTTGATTTAGTTCAGGGTGTGCTGGCAGCGTGAGCTGGCTGAGCAGAGTCGGGATGCTGTTCTCACGATCATTTTTTCTTATGAGATCCATCTCAGGAGGCTCATTCTTGCCTCTGTGTCACGACTCCCTAGAAATCTCTGTAGGCAAAGGATGCGCTAATTTGATGCATCCTATGATTGCCCTTCCTCCACAACCAGATTAATTTACTGTTAGCTGAGATTCCCACAATGTACCTTATGCCACTGTGAAGCCTGGTGTTTACTGATGTAAATAAGAAATAAATGGAAGCTTTACATGTCTCTTATGGAATAACGATATAGGCTCTGCTGCCTGGTACTGTGTCTCAGAGGTGAGGGGGTTGTACTTCTATTTTGCTCTTTGCAGCTCGGGCTGTTTATAACAGAATAATCTGTTTTCAACCTCAGCTATAATGATTTAAATGCTGAGCAGCTCTCTAATAATGGAATCTGGAGGTTTTCACTCAAGTGTGTGGTTCCCATCAGAGGCAGGTGCTGGATTCAAAGTTAGTTTTTTTACTACAGTCTGGTGTGTTTGGCCTTATATATTAGGTATGGAGGCTGTCCATCACAGAGGCAAGATGTGGCCCTTTAGGGTTATAAGAAATTAGCACTCTCCTCCTCTCTTCTCCAGCCCTTCTGAGAAAATCTGTGCCTACATACCGCAACCGATTGTGATTTCTTTTTTTTTCCAGGATTAGTATTTTTGGTGGCCTCACCATCAAAATAGAGAGAAAAGTCTTGGAGTGGGCATACCAATGAGTTTTTAGATTCCAAGCTCTCCCAAATTATCTTGCCTTCTATTTAAAGAGGAGTAAATTAAATTGCAAGAGATGGCACAACTGGTTTTCCAGATCTTATTTAATTTGGTTTAGCAGTTAGCATTTTCCATCTGCACAACATAATGATTAACTTTTTTTGTTTCTTCATTGTCACTGTACAGGCTGCTTTTTATGGCTGATCTCTGGCCTTTCCTACTGTTACAGCTTTCTCTCTTTAAAGCAGTGTGTCTTTATTGATTTTTTTCTTTTAGGATGAAGTATGTACAAAACTATTAATCCTGCTAAATGTGCTTGCAAGGAAACCCATGTGATTCACGGCCTTTGATCCTGCTATCACTTATGTGGGTGTTTAACTTTACTACTGTTTATAGTCCCACTGGGGAGAATCTTAATTTAAAAAATACTATCATAAAAATAACGTGAGGTTTTTCGCGCATGTCCATGCTGGGTTATGAGGGGCATCTCCCTATAAAACCAAGCATGTAAATTAAATCGGCTGCAAAGAAGAAGATAGATAAATTATCTCCCCAAGTCTGGAAAGGTTCATGGTTACGTTATTGTTCCCATCCATGCTCAGTGTGTATGGTATTCATTCCTTCACTTTGTGAATGTGCAAGGATTTTGTGTCCCAAAACTTGGATTTTTAGAGAGATATAGTTTGCTGGTCAGCATTGCCAAGCCAAACTGTGCACGAAGGACACTGTCTTCAGAAAGGCAGCCCCAGAGGTTGGTTTGGTCTCTGGTGTGATCTGTGTATGTGCAGTGCAGGGGCTGCTAGCAGTGCATGGTGTGCAGGATGCTGGCACTGGGCACCCTGCCCAGCCAGACACCTTATGGCCCTGGGTTCTCGGAAGAGTCTAACAAAGCGGATCAACACTTCCACTCCTCTGTGCCCCGATGTGGCTGGGGGTGAGCACATGGGCCTGGGTAAGTGCCCCTTTCTGGAGCCACCCATGCCCTCGGATGGGCCTTGGCCATGTCCACTGCTGTCACCATCAGCGTGGCTCCGTCCACACCACCCATCCTTCTGTCCTTGCGCCTCTCCAGTGGCCTCTGGTCCCTCCGGCTGTGTCCCTGCCCTACCCCGAGTCCCCGAGCCCTGCTCACCCCCCTCCATCGTCCCGCCCCTCGCCCGGCTCCTCATCCCCAACCTCCCCCGCCGCGTCCTTTGTCCCCTCCCCGCGTCCCGGCCCGCCTCTCGCCCCCCGCCCGGCCGGGGAGCCGGCGCTCAGCCCCCCCCAGCGGGAGGCGGCGGGCGGCCGAGGCTGCCGCTCCACTCGCCATGGACCTTCTGGCTGGAGGAGTGAGTGGGGTCGGGGGGGGGGGCGGGCGCGGGCAGGGGGGGGGTCTTACGGAGGGGAACCCCCAAAACCCGTCTGTGGGAAGCTTTGACGGGCTCTCCTGTGGGACACCGGCAGATGATGTTGCGCTGCGAGTGGGAAAAGCGGCCGTGAAACGGAGCCAGGCGGTGTTCCTTCCTTCCCATCGGGGGGGAGCCTCAGCGTTTTCCGGGGGGTAGTGAATGAAGCGTGTTTGGGAAACGCTTTCGGGTTTGTAGTTGAACGGGTGAGCGCTGATTAGGGAACTTCAGTGCCCGTTTAAACGCTGAATTTAGAGGTGATGCTTCGAGCCCTGCGGACAGGAGGCTGGACGCTCTGGTGCGTTCCCCAGACGGATCGAGGTCCCCCTGTAATGCTTTAACAGCAAGGTTTGGCTCCTGTAGACGATGAGATCTTTAAATCTGATGTGATCTGGTTTTAAGGATTAACTAGGATTTGTTAATGAACGGCAGTGTTCACACTGCGTTTCACATGCTTGAAGTTCCACTCTCTAATGGTCACGGGAAGGTGGTGCAGAGGGAACTCATCCCGAGGTGCCTGCAACTAGGTACAGGGTGAAAGCACCGAAGTCAGAACTGAAATAGAAGTTTTAAACCCTGAATCTGATATTGTTTTTCTGGGGTGTGTTTTTTGACTTCTTGGTTTTCACCTTCTACAACTCCTTTTTCTCAATTTTCAGTTGTATTTCTCTTCTCCTCCCACTCCAGAAGGAGTTTTCTCCTTTTCAGCCTTTCTGTGGCTGAACATATTGTCTGGTACTACTGGTAAAATTCTCCTTTGTTTTGGAGTTTTGAGTTGGTTTGTTTGTTTGTTTTGTAACTTTTCAACGTCACACACACAGTGTGTGGAGACATGCAGGTTCATGACTCTACAGAGTCCCACAGAAGTGGCTGTGACATTTATCGGTGTGCCCACTGAGGTTCGATGGTGGGATCGTTGCTTAGACTTGGATAGGCTGGACTTGCCACAGAACGCAAGTGTAGCCACTTTTTAAACTTACTTTAGCCACTCCTAGTGTGGAGCAGTGATGTTTCCTAATGAGCTGGTATTGATTTTTTGACTGCTACTACATTTTACCCTTTACTTGGACTGAAAAGCAGGGAGAAATGATGCTTAAGGATAAACAGACACTGAGATGGATACATAATCTGCTTCTATTAAATTACTGTGAGAGATCCATGACATACATTTTAATATCTCCAAAATGTATCTTTTCATGAAGTCACACTGTTAAAATAAATACCCATCAGCTGAATGGTACTTTCTATAACAACTAGGGATATGCCACCAATTATTCCCTTGGGGTTCATGACCTTGCTTTTATCATGGAGTCACTCAATACATGTCCTGCTTTAGAAGTAAATGCCTTTGGTTTATCTGCAGCAGCACTTGTTTCTGTGAGTGCCTGGGCACTCAGAGGAGGCTGGGATCCTGGGACCAGGTTCAGGTTCATTGCCATTATTTCACATGTCATGGAGTGTGTGCACTTCCCGTAAGTGCTGAGCCTTTCTCGGTATGTGTCTGAAATAGCAGCCATCTGATACCACTCTTTTGTATCTTGCCCCATATATATATGCTTTAGGAAAGTGAGCATGATGAAAGTGTTTGGGGGAATCTTATTCACCAGTTTGACAAATAAGATCCCATCTATGATCTTCGAATGCTTATGGGTCAGCAGCTTCATAGAAGAGAAGCTGTCAGGTGTTTTTCTCTTAGGAGAAACAAGATTTCCCTTTAAACTGTTAAAATGTTATAAGGTCATATGCTAAAAGCTGTGAAACCAGGAGTTTAGATCTGCTGTTTCGTTTGTCCACGTTTTCAAGTTCATACCTACATGTCTCATCTGTAGTACTTCTGCATGCTGTGATGCTATGGGGCATGGGGAATTTCAGTAAGTCTTGTAGATGCCTCTGGTGCCACCTTGGGAAGCTGATTCATGTTGGTGGCGCTTCATGCTTGTGTTTATCTTGGTGAGGCTCTGGATTGGTGCTGGGTCCTGTTTACAGCAGCCTCTAGCTTTGAAAGTAAAGATTGGCTTTCCAGTTCTTGCTACACTTCATAGTCTTTTAATTTTATTACAACAGTGACAACGTGCATCCCTGAATATAAACAAATTAGAAACAAGGAAGGGTTACAGAGCTGGTCGCTTATATCCACGTGGTGTAGCACATTCAACACAGGGATTGCACAGAAGTCAAGTGAAATGGCCATCAAAGGCTGGGATGTCCTGAATAACAAGCCATGTTAAGCACTTGAAACCATCCCGTAATGGGATTTAGGGTTGTGGATCTGGGTGCAATCTTTGTGTAAATACAAAGCTGTGAAGCTGATTATGCTTTTTGATGTAATTTAGCATGGGTATTGTATGCCAGTTTATGTTTACTGCTACACCAAGTAAGCCTTTCCCTACCAAAATATCAGAGGAAGCATACTAGCACTAGTAGCTGCTTGATTTTTCAGCCTCATGACAAGAAGCTGGAGGTTTTGCCAGTAGTAACAGCTTTCAATTCAATGTGTGTGCACGCACATGCAGTGATGAAGATGTTGCATACCCTTGCAAAAAGCCATCCCTTGAAGATCTAACTGCATTTGAGCTGACAGTGTTGCTGACAGACTGTTTTCAGTCAACAGCAAGGAAAATACCAGCACCCTTGTATACAGATCAGTGCTGTCAGAAATTGAGCACACATCACACAACAGCCTAGTATGGAAGTCTCGTTTCTAGCTAAACTTCGTCACACAGGGCAGATTGCCTTACAGGATTGTGGCCTGCCTTCTTGTCTGCTTTTGAACAGTGCTTTGTAGGTGTCATTTGTTTCTATTGCAAGAATAGTTTCACTCTTCTGTATTCTGTGAGGGTAAGAATATGCTTATAGTCAAATATGGTAGTAATAATGTTATTAGTCTACTCCAGGAAAGTGAAATGATCCTTACATAAATGTTTTATCCTTATGTGCTTTTTTTTTTCCCCTCTGTGTGTTGTACTGGAGTTCCATATAAATAAAGTTTAATAGATACATTCTGATGACTGAAACATTTTCATAATAATTGTGAATCTTCATAACAGAACACATCAGATATTTGAAACTAAGCTTAATTTCCCTTCTTCTGTATAGCAAAATCTTATTTATCTAGGATCATCTATTTCATCTATTAAAGCTTACGAGTAGGTGGCTTACAATGAAAAATGATGGTTAATATTATAAGAACGTTCAACCCGTTAAGTGCATTTTGACAAGCTCTGATGGCATGAAATCAGTCTTTGTACTCAGAATGGATTACCAGATTTATTTAGTTGCCACTGCATGGTTTTGAGTTTATGCTTTGTAAGTAAATATTTTGCTTATTTATACCAAAAGCAGTTGCTGCTAAGTACTTACAGGGGTGTTCTCAGAAGTTCTTGGCAGGTTTTAAAGCTCCCGCTAAAGCTATGATGAGATTCCCACTGGGAAACACAGGCCAGTGTGAGCACACATGAAAAAACTTCTGTTTCCCTGGGAAGAATTAAGGATAGGAGAGCTGCAACTCAGCATCAGACATTAACATAAGCATAACCACCTGGAGGTTTATTCATGGGTAAAACAATGGAATTTATCTCTGTATCCTTTGTTCTTTATTGGTGCTGGAATAATGGAATAGTGAAGCAAGCTTGCATTAGGATTCAGTTTGCCTAGGTTATTCCTGCTTCCATGTTCCACTTTTAATGATACCCATGCAGTTTACCATGAGATGCTGTGTAGTGGGCCTGGCATGATTAGGCAACTTGATTGTTCCTGACGTTGCAGTAAAATTTTTCCCGTAAGGATTCAGAAGATGCAGGAAAGTGGCATCCCAGGGCACAGAGCAGGCAGCCCAGGGGGACAGTTTCAAGTGTCAGTTTTTGCAGGGTTCTTGTTTTGGAGTAGAATGTGTTGTAAAGTACACAACCATCTACTCCTACCTTATAGTGTGTTTGCTAGAAGAGTTACAGAAGTAGGAATTTCTACAGATTCCTTCACTTGGAAGTCATCTGACATTTCCACTGACTTAATTTAAACTTACTCTGTGTACTCAGTAAAAAGTAAAATCACAATTTCATGGGTTTCAAGGCATGAAATGGTTGTCATCTGTGCAGATCTGAGTTTATGGGTGGCTATTGCAAAACCACTGTGGTTTAGATTTGTCAGCTTTTCCCTTCTGTCTGTGATGAGAATACTGCCTTTGCTTTATAATCATGCATTAAACCAATTTTTTTCAGGTGTAAGTTCTGCAGCAAATGATCCTGAACTTTTCAGTTGCTGCATATAATAGTTTTTTCATTCACAGTCCTTTCAATAGGGTTTTTAGTTTAGCTGGTTTAATAAAAAGGTTTTGGGGTTCATGCTCATACCCGTAAATTATTGATGCTTTCCAGAGCTGGATGAAAGGCTGAAATAATGCCGTGTAATCTTGTGCGCATGGAGCACTTGCCAGGCAAGTGACTAGAAATTAATGGTCACTCACCTTAACTTTTAAAAAGATAACTTGCTGTTTGGATGGTGTTTTCTGCCAGCCGATCACATTTCTCTGATCCGTTTCTCTGGAAAACGTTATTTGCAACTATCAAAATTAACCATTTTATGACCTCAGAGTGGAATATTCTCTGCTCTCGTGAGACCTCACCTGGAGTATTGTGTACAGTTCTGGTGTCCTCAACATAAAAAAGGACATGGAACTGTTGGAACAAGTCCAGAGGAGGGCCACGAGGATGATCAGGGGACTGGAGCACCTCCTGTATGAAGATAGGCTGAGGAAGTTGGGGCTGTTCAGCCTGGAGAAGAGAAGGCTGCGTGGAGACCTCATAGCAGCCTTCCAGTATCTGAACGGGGCCTATAAGGATGCTGGGGAGGGACTCTTCATTAGGGACTGTAGTGATAGGACAAGGGGTAATGGGTTAAAACTTAAACAGGGGAAGTTTACATTGGATATAAGGAAGAAATTCAGGAAAGAATTTCTTCAGGAAAGAAATTACAGGAAAGTAATGGTGGTGAGGCACTGAAATGGGTTGCCCAGGGAAGTTGTGAATGCTCCGTCCCTGGCGTTGTTCAAGGCCAGGTTGGACAGAGCCTTGGGTGAGATGGTTTAGGGTGAGGTGTCCCTGCCCACGGCAGAGGGGTTGGAACTGGATGATCTTAAGGTCCTTTCCAACCCAAACTATTCTATGATTCTGACTGTCTTAGGTGCTCTTTCAAATGGCACTGAATTTTCTGGATGGCTATCATGATTGTCTAGATAACCTTTGAAGGCTCTCCTTAAAGAATAGATTTTAATCTTGTTTTGACTAGAATTTACTATTGAAGCATCTCAGTGGCAGTATCAGTGCGAGTATAGAGAGCAGCAGTACTGCATGTTGTACAATAATGTTAAGCCTGTGTGCATTGGTCACTTCTACGTTAGCAAACTGGCAGTAGTACCTAAGAGAAGTAATTTCTTGGACAGCGCTGCGAGACAACAAGAGGCAAAGTTATCTCAGGCTTTGCCTGCTTGTGTTCTATTATACATGAAACAGTAGGAGAGGTGCTACTTCTGTCAGCAACAAGGAAAAAACAAGGGTAGTTTGATGCAAATCCTCCACTCCTGACTGACAAACACAGTTAAATCACCTGGTAAGGTTTAAATCTGTTTTAACTTACTACTACTTTTTTGTGTGTGCATTCAAAAGCCATCTGCTTTCTGTTAAATAATGTGAATTTCTGTTTGTTCTTTAATGCTGAGTGTGGAGCGTAAAGAAAACAAACAACAACAAACAAAGCAAAGCACCAAAAAAGACCCAACCCCAACCCTTACTATGTTAATTCCTCCTGAACACATTGATCAATGTTCTTGTGGTGGCTGTTTTCAAGTTACCAGTTTTTCCACAGGAGTTTTCATAGTTCACGAGCCACAGGACTTGAACTTGAGCCCCAGATTTCTTGAGGGGTTTCTGCTTGTTTTGATGACCTCTAGTTAAAGTGATCTTTGAGGTTTGGACATGTGATGCTTTTCTCATCAGTTCCGTTGTTGCAATGTACTCATATCTAGTGATAAACAGGCAAGTAGTAAAGTCTGTGTCTGTTCTATACTAAAAAACTTGGGAGGGATTTCTCTGCTGGTTTCGTATGTCTTTTTAAAGTAACTTGTTTTGATAGGGGCCTCCAAAAAACCTTGGAGCTGATATTGAGGTTTTGAAGATTGGTTTCAGTAGTTTTGCGTATTAAATGTCTTCCTTTACAGGAATATCTCGTTCTTGTGCTAAAGCCCAAATTATATCTCTAGCAACTGAGAGGAACTTCTAGTTTTTTGCTGGGCACACTTCATGCTGATCAGATGTATCAGGGCAAACAGCCTCCCATGAGGAGGGTTACTGAGATCTAGTTTTCTCTCAGTTTCTTCAGCGGGTCCCTGAGCAACAACTGTGTTTTCTTCTGTTTCCTCACCTCTGCTCTGTTGCCTCTGTTTCCAGGTTTAGTCACTTTACACCTTTTTGTTTCCTCTTCTGAGGTGCAATGGGAGGTTGCTTTGCCTTTGATATTCCTCTTTCCTTAGAAATCCTAGTTTGGCTTCAGGGGATTGGGGGGGGGGGCGGGGAATGTTTCCAGTTTTAACAAACTGCCTTAGCAATTTTTACCTCATTTCCCCCCAAATTGTGCCTGTGGGGGCACGTGCTGGGAATTGTAAAAAGGGGTGTTATGGTGTGCTATTACTGGGAATTGTGAAATAGGTGTTACGATGTGCTGTTAGTGTGATGACAGGAGCCAGTGAGGTCTCTGCATGTGGATGCACCATCCCATGTCTCATGCACTGAAAAGTTGTGATGATGGTTAGAAATAGAATCATTTACATTGGAAAAGACCTTTAAGATGATGGGGTGCAGTTGGTACTGTATGTGCGCAAAGGAGCCAGTTCTGGATGGGGAACTGGGAGTAATCAGTGTGCGGGTGAGTTAGAGAAGCTAAACCGTGCCTGGCATATGTCAGTGTAACCCTAAGGGCTGGTAATGGACCCAGCCCAAGTATAATCAGGCAATGAAGAAGGTAAGATTTTGTAATGGGCTATGCTTGTGAAAGCTGGAAAATCTTGAGTCTGGCAAAACAATGTTTTCTTATTAAGCTCATAGACCTTGAGGAGCGGTGGAAGACTGATAAATGAACCATCTGCATCAGAAGAAGAGTAACAACTAACTTCAGACAGATTAGAAAGGAACACAGGTTGAGAAATACGGAAGTAAGTTTGAAAAGCCTAGCAAAACAGAAGATAACTGTGTCCCTGAAGGAAATTGTTTCGTTACAATACAAAAATCACACCCACTGAGATAAGAGATCCTTGGCTGCAGAGGAACTTATGGTAAATGAAATTGCTCACTGGATGATAGGGGGATGTTACTAAACTCTGAGCAGAGGCTAGCATCCACACCTGAGTAAGGTGAGTGTGCGAGCTTTGTGGAACTGCCACCCAGCAGCCAGCTTTGCGCTGGTATGAAATGAACAGTAACTCGACTCTGCGTGAGACCGCCGTATGGCACACCAGGTGAGCGATCCCACTTGCGGGACACCGCAGGGACCTCCCGGCTTTGTGGGAAGAGCCGGCCGCGGGCAAGGCCTGGCGAAATGGGTGCTGGGGCTGCAAGAGCTGCCTGTGCCCTCGGAGGTCCTCCGCAGCATCGAGCGGTGTCCGGCGGGACCGGGCCCGAGTACCGCACGTGTCCCACCGCGGGCACCGGCGGAGCCGGGTCCTGACCCCACGGACCGAGGCGCTAAGGAAAGGCCCGGCGCCCCTCCCATCGCCGGCGGCGCGCCTCTGCCACCTAGCGGCCAACGAGGGGAGCAGCGTGGCTGAAGGGAGCGCCGCGGTTCCGCGCACTGGCGCCGCTGCAAGGCTTGGCTCTGAAAGCGAAGAGCGCCTTTGAGCGGTCAGCGTGCCGGCCGGTTGTGTTCGATTTTGGCTGAAAAACAACCAAAAAGCCTTCAAACTGCAGCCCTGGTTTAGGACACAAGTGCTCTCAAGTATATCCACAGCCATCTGCCAGCATAGCTCTGCTCCTTCTACTGTCAGTAGCTTTAGGGTTTGGGCACACCACCAGGGGAGAGTAAGATGAAAGATGGATCGGGTGTTTCACACCAATGCTTTTATATTCTTAATCCTTCTCTTCTCGTGACTGGATGATGGTAATGGCTGGTAGGCACATAATGTTGCAATCTTTGTTTTTAGAGTTGTGCTAAAGATTATTAGATAATAGTTAATGAGCTGTGCTAATGCTTAATATTGCATCACTGCTGATTGATGCAACATAAATCTTTACAAATCCCTTCTTACTTCCAGCTGTTGGATAAAGAAGAAAGGAGAGCGGGATATTTTCAGTCATCCTTCCCTGTTGCTCACCACTGCTTTTGGGTACCTTTTATCCACCCTGAACATGCATGACAGCTTCTGCTCTCACTAGCAGAAATGCTGGGAAGTTATCCGATGGTTCCTGGTAACTCGGATCTTCTAATTTCTCCTCTGTTCCTGTATTAATATGTGCATCTCAGGTTCTTTGCATCTGGTTAAAACTTTTCACTGTGATCTAGGCTAAGCAGTTGGATTGCTGGTTAGGCATTTAGTTCCACAGGGTTATTTTTATGGTGCAATATTCTGTGGTGTTTTTGTAACTCAAGATAATCATAATGAAGTTTAGACTAGTCTTAGGTGAAGCAAGGTGAGTATTTAAGTATATATTTTAGATATATCTACTTATATACAGTGTATATATATATAAATATGCATATGTATACAGTAGATAAAACTAAAAGTTTTATGTATTGGTTTGTTCTGACATACTCTATGTAACTGATTTTGATTCTTTTTTCTCTCTATTCCTAAGGACTTTGATGCTAAAGTAACCCAGTTCAGCTGCTTTCCTTCTTAGTACCTCTGCCTTATGCAGAATTGTCATCTAAAAGAGCAAAAAAAAAGCAGAAGTAAAATTGCAAGTTCTTTTCAGAGCATTTTATTATAACATAGAAGGTGCCAGTTCTCTAGGAGCAGGATATGTAATAGTTTTAGAGAAAATGAACAAAGAAGTAAATCCACGTGAAACTTACTCTCTTGTATTAATGCAACTAGTTTTTTTTCTTTTTAAGGATTTCTGGAGTGTCTACAACAACCTTCCTCCTGTGACAAATTTGCCTCCAATATGCAGTTACCATTTAATGCAAGGTGAAGGACAGACCCTTTGGTATGTATGTGTTATCATGAGACGCTTCTGGGCATGGGCAGTGAGAAATCCTAAAGTGGTAGAAGGAGATAGGCGTGGGACAGGAGCATCTTGTTTCTGTTGCCTGCAAACACCTGAACTTAAGAGACCTATGAAAGAAGTATCCTAGGGATCTCGTTAAGCTTAGAAGTGACATGTACTGAAGAGTCCTTATTAAAAACACAGGCTGTAATTTAATTGTCCACCCCTGAACACATATGTAAGAAAGAAGTGAAATGATGAGAGAACTGCTAAGCTAAAATACGACTGAATTTCAGTTCAGGAATACACAGAATGTTGTTTCTATCTGAATTATTTTTAACTCACTTTTTTTTTTCTTTCCACTGAAGCTGATGTAAGAATGATGCAAATGACTGACGGTCCTTACCTCTTCTTCACCTGTGCAAAATTATGCTTCATAAGCATGTAAATGCACATATACCTTGGATTAAAATTAATTTAAGGCATTATGAAGTGATTCATTGCAGCAAATTCCCACTTGATTGTAGGGTAGTAATGGAATAAAGTATAAATAATTAATGTTTTCCTTCCAGAAGCTGAGTTTTGCATACCTTCTTCCTGGTGCGGTTCTGTCCCATCTCAATGAGAGAGCTAAGCGCTTTCTGAAGAGTTTTGCTCAAGATTAGAGTTCTTGATCGTTTTATGTCTAACTGCGTGGTGGCTTAATACAGGACGGTTTCTGTCCTGATCTACTGAAGAATAAATTTCTAGAACTGTGACTGGTCAGGATAGCTAAACTGGGTTTGGAAAAGTGTTAGTGTCTGTATAAATCAAGCGGACCGTTCTGTGCAGGTCTCCCCGTCTTTGTAAGGAGGGGTGAGAGCACTTCTGGGTTTTGTTTTGTTGGTTTTGCTATTTTTAGTTTTCGTTTGTTGAGTGAGTATGAGAGGTGTGAAATGTGAAGATTACTTCTGAAAATGATACACCCGTTTTGAAACTGGCAAAGTAATTTTGTATTTTAGGAAAGAGATTACAAGAGATTGATCTCATCTGTAACCCAGTAACTCTTCTGCGATTGCTGCCAGGAAGCTGTTCTCAGATTACACTTACAGTATCCTGGTTAATTGCAGCATTGTTCTTTAAATTACATTAAATGAAAACAAAGTCTGAAGAAAGAATTGAGGACTGCAGAGTTTTGAGGATGTTACACCCCCCCCCCCCTTTCCCCAGTGTTTGTCTGGATTGGTAGGAGACCATTGGTCCTGAGCAGTCTCTATAGGCTTCATGCTGGGTTTAGGTATTCCAAAGATAAATTTTAGGAAATTCCTTTAACTTTACTTTGCACATTTTTAACAGGAAACAAGAAGCCCTGGTTTAAAATCTTATAAAAAGAATTGTGACAGAATAAACTTGAGAAGCTCACAGGTTTGTATGTTGTGCCTTTGTCATGACAAGGCAGATTCATAGTTATGTCTGCCCTGACCCTGGATAGCTTCAGTCTTTTTTATCTTATAATAAGGGCAATTAATTTCTAGCTGTCACACAACTGAAGAGTGCTCATGTTCTTTGTTAAATTGGGTAAGCTTGAGAGTAATAAGCTGCTGTTGTAAAAATATGTCAGAGTTTTTCCAAAATAAAAGGTTACCATAGTAAAACATGAAATAGTTTTGTGGCTCGTTCCCATGCAATATGCAGCCACTTCAAAGGTGTTCTGTAGTCAGGGAAAATGTAAGTATTTTCCAACACACACAATTTGGGAAAGGGATTAGCTGTTGAGAGATAGACTTCATACGAACAATGGAAGACTTACCTCTGATGTCAGAAGTAATAGCTTGAGTCATGCTACCTGGAGTTAGTAATTGCATTTCCGATGGGATTTTTCTGGGAAAATGAAATCCCAGACGTAGGGTTATGTAGATGTGAATTTGAATGCTTACTTTCACTGATCTGTTTCCCATAACCAGGGAGAGGAAAGCAATGCCAAAGGAGGTATATGGACAATGAAGGTCCCTAAAGAAAGTACAGTATGTTATACTGACTTTTTACTTAGACTTTGTTTAGTAAGGGGGTTTCTTTTAAACACATCTGATACAGTTGTTGTAAAGCTTCTTAGTTCTGACATCACCCAACAACTGAACACTGTTTTAAGGTCTATAACCTTTTATGTTAAGACAAGCGAGCAGAATGTTGGTGTGTTATAAAGCAAATGAAAGCTGTGGTGTTATACTCCATCTCAAGTGTTTTTTTTATAATCACCTGGCATAAACTTTATAATTTTATAGTTTTCATAACTGCTTTCTTACAGGCATGCAAAGAAAAGTAGAACCATCTTTTCCTGCTAATATTATATGCTAAGTTATAGCCAGAACCTCAGTAACGCTCTTCAAAAGTCTGCACACAGAGTCTAGCACAACTTCTGGAGTTTCACTGAAATGCTCCTAAACTCTGTCAAACTCAGTAAGACTATTTCTGCTTGGCATGGCTTGTTTGCCCCTCTGTATGGCTGTGAGTAGCGCCGTGACTTTCTGTAGTCAAACGTGGACCAAGATGGTGTTTCCACTGATAGCTCATCCCATCTCATAGCTTGATCCCACTGGAAGGGGAAGATATTACTCATTCTTTCCTAACTCCTTTTGCACTGGCTCTGGTACTTATCAGACTGTTTTGTGAGCCAGCTTAATGCACTCTGATATCACAAAAAGTATCCTATTTACTATTTTAAGTTGAATATATGGCCAGGAGAGGGCTTGTTGGTGGGCATAGGGGGTAAAGAAAACACAACTGGAATCATGCCTCTCTTTTTTTTGTATTTAAGAATGTGAAAGATAAAATCTGTTCAGGAGTGTTGTTGTTCTAGCACTGCTGAAATAATGGGGTTTCTCTTTGTGCCCCTAATCAAACACGCGCAAGTAACCTATGTGACCTGTTAAGGAGAGGAGATATGACCTCTTCACATGTGGTGTTTATGTGTGTGTGTGTGTGTGTGTGTGAATGCTGCATCAGGCTTTTAAACATGAAAAGTGGAGTGTCAGAAAAATGTGACAGCCTTGCAGAAGGCATTAAATGCTGAAAGGCAGTACTGGAAATTTCAGCCAAAAGTTAATTGTTTTTTGCCTGTGGGCTCTTTCCCCGTATGTGAATTGCAGCTTCCCTCCCTGCAGTCCCAACTCATCCCGGAAGACTGAAATTTTCTTTCTTCTCTTATAATCCAAGGTGTGAAGATAGTCAGAGGTGACAAGTGGTTTGGGGAGTCTGAATTACTGGGTGGTGAATTTAGGAACCTCAAAGGCCTAGTTTTCCAGAGGCTGAATGACATCCCCTTCTCGAGATGAAGGTTCTTTTTGATCTCTCTAACTACCTACCTCATGTCCCAGGTCACTTCTGAAGGTGAACTTCAGTCAGCTTTTAGTGTCTCTTGAAATAACATAAAGGATTTATTTGTGTTATTATTTTTTATGCCTGTTTCTCTTTTTTTTGGCTTCATTCTTCGTCACATGTGCACACAGCATCGTCTTGGCTAAAATGTACAGACCTAACTCAAAAGGTGATATGCTATAGCAGCCTTGACAAGGGTGTGGAGGGAGGAAAAATGTAGCCTTTTCTAAAGATACCAGTCTTTCAAGGGGTATGAAAAAACAACTGACAAAATACTGTCACTTAAATGTTGTGGTGTGTGTGCAGTGACGCTACTTGTATGCCAGTTTTTAATATGAAGACTAATATGCTTCAGATCCTCATAAACTTGATATGGCAACTGCTTGCTGCTGCATGAAGTGCTTTCTACCCTTGAGACCATCAGGACAACTCACAAATAGTGAGCACTGGTAACGACAGTGGGTGTGCTCAGCCCCATCACTGTCTTTGAGCTGTTCCACTGGCAGGCAAATGACATTGTGATAGAGGCTGTCAAGCTTATGTCTTCAGCCTGCCTCGGGAGCCATCACATCAGATGGTCCTGCCCATAGAACAGCTTTACATGATGCATTGGATTAGATGTTTATGAATCACAGAAATTCTTTGTATTCTAAAAGATAGCTTAGGAAACACCATTAAAGTAGCTTATTAGTTTCACATCTTTGAGGCTGCTTGCATTTTGGTTTAACCTGGTGCATTTAGTTTGCTGGATTTCTTAATAATGCTAAAAGCTCAAGCTAACTTCATATATCAGAAAAGGCATTCCTTAAAAATAGTATATGAAAAAGTCATTATGGTGATGGAAATAAATACATGTGTTTGTGTTCTTTTAAATAAATGAATACTGTCCCTCTAAACTCACACTTTGGAGCATTACGCTGGTCCAGATGTGTTTGAAGTTTTGTATGGGCTTTGGCTTCGGTGGTAACAAGTCTCAAAAGCAAGTAACAGTATAATCGGTCTAAAAGCCAGAGTAAAGTGGCAGGTAGCTTTACCCCCTGTTTTAATTCTTTCATAGCCAAGGCAAAACAGAGATCATGGTTAAATTATAAATCAGTTTAATTTACTGGTAGGGTTTTCAGGTACTTGGGGGATAGTGATGCCTCTGTGTAGACACAAAGGATCACAAGTGGAGCCTTATGGTTTTTTGTTTTGGGAAATTCTTAGGAGAAATCTACTTTCAGGCTTCGCATAACTGGTGCATTCAGGATGAGTTGTGGACTCAGATATAGTGGAGGTAAACTTGTTAAGTATTTATTGGAACAATTCTGTATACCAGTATGTATTTTCAGGGTCTGAATTCTTGCTGCAATTGAATTGAAGAAATTAATTATATAACACAGCACGTACTTACAATACTCTTTTGTCTAGACAACCTCAAAACTGAGCTAGCAAGCCTAACTTTTAGATTAAAAAATAATAATGCAAATGTAACTTATTTTTCTTCTCCCTTTCTTAGGCTGCAGTTTGGGAAGAGCTACTGTTAGCAACTACTGGACAGCAGTTCACAGGCTGGTGTGCAGCAGGTAATTTAAAAATGATTGAGGCAATCACGACAGATTGAGCTTGAACACAGAACATGGAAACCCGAACACAGAAACATGTGAAAACGAGGTATAGAGCTGGAAATCGTATTCACACCTCTCATCATTAAGAAGAGGACAAAGTATTCTGGCTGCCTTAGCACAAGACTTGCGCTCAAAAGCCTGCATCCCTGAGAAGCCAGCAGGTTTTCTAGTTATTAAATATCTATCTGTTAGCCAGTATTGAAATGATGAATATTCATTCTCAGTGACAGGATTCTGGAGCCCCAGATGACACTTCCCTACAGATTGTTTGGACTGTCACTGTTGGAAGCAACTAAATTGGGTGCATGCCCCCATAGTCCCTTCTGGTTAGGAGTTGTCAAGGGAAGCAACGTTGCAGACCAGAAGCAGAGGGAAGCTGCTTGGCTTGCCGGTGGTGACATTAAAAGCTGCAGTAGGGCTATAACACAAACCTGGCTGTCTTGAGCCCCAGGTAGGCAATATTTTCATTATTAGTTAAAAACACTGCTTAGGTCAAGGTAATCTTTAATGTGATTGAATTTGCATAGATATTCTTTAAATACTTTGTGAGCAGGAAGGGTTCAGAAGCCTGGCAATGTTATGAGGTGAGCTCAGCCAGGGGTCATCAAGAAGGTGCTCAAGGATGGCATCCTCTCAACAGAAAACAAACAAAACCAAGTCTTCTCTGCTGGCTGGAAAGGACATGGTGACCCAGACAGAGGTCCCTCATAAACATGTAACTGTCCAGGTGTCTGGCTGTAGGGAGTGCCAGAGCCTGTTGGGAATGTTGGATGGTGGCTGTGTAAGGTGTCACTAGGTTGATGATTTTCTCTGCATGGTGGCAGAGCTACAGGAAGAGATGGAACAGCTAGAGGAGCATAAGGGAATCTGAGGAGGAGATGGGTTAGTCTATATGGCACTAAGGCCTGCTGTGCAGCAGGAAAATCGTGACAATCACCATCACAGAAACATGTGATGTTTCCAGTCACTCCATGTGATTGAAGTGCTGCAGTGGATAGCTCAGGCTCTTCAGAAGGGATAGGCAAGGAAAAAGAGGTGGTGGGGTTGCACTGTATGTCAGGGAGCTGACTGCCTTGAGCTCAGTGTTGTGAGTGAGAAGGCTGAATGTTTGTGGGTGAGCACCAGGGGGAAGGCCAACCAAGTAGGTGTCCTGGTAGGAGTCTGTGATAGACCACCTAGCCAGGGTGAAGCTACAGATGAAGAAGCATTCTTCAAGCAACTAGGAGAAGTTTTGGAAACACTTGCCCTTGTTTTCATGGGCGACTTTAACCTACAGATGTCTGCTGGAAGTACAATACAGCAGAGAAGAAACAATCCGTGAGGTTCTTGTTTGCTTGGTTTTTTTAATTCTTCATTATTTCTTTAAAAGGATATTTTGACCAATTGTTTTTCCATTCAGATTGTGTTTCATTAAGATAGCAGGCTTTCTATCTTAAAGTACAGGAAGTACTAGATAGGTACAGTACTTCTATCGTGTACTGAGTTAAATGCAGATGTGCACAAAGATGGCATGCTGCTTTTCCTAGATGTGCTGTATGTAGAGGAATACTGGCTTGGTGAAATGTGTTTTCAGTTTTCATTTTGAAACATTCCTGTTGTGCTAGGATTTACTCACTGGTTTTGTCCCAAGAGGGAAAGCACTTACACTGCATTTATTCTAATATTCAGCGTAATCTGCTCTTGCACTGACAACGGCACATGTACTGTAAATGTGAATAGTCAAGTGTTCACTAAACAATTGACTAAAGAGAACATGTTTATATTGGTACTAAACCTGTCTGGGGTGATGTTACTGTGTTTTAATTGTACTGATTTCAGAAGAGCCCTCATTCAGACTAGAATGAGAAATCTTTCAGCAGTAGCAAACTCCACACCTGTTTTATTTAAGAGATGAGGGGTTTTAATGGTTTCATATTGTATGCTTGCTTATTATATTTTTCTGTACATTCATGAAAAAGTGTCATGAATCATTTCTAATGCATTGGACTGCATTAGAAATCACCTAACGCTTTGAGGAGAATAGTAGGCCTGTGCCTGCACCCACAAAGCTGAGGATCAGAACTGCTGTTGACTTCAGTGCAAAGGAGGAGATCCCACCCCAGGTAGCTTCAAGCCAGCAAGGCTTCCTAAGCAACCGTAAACAAAACTACAGACAATAAATGGATTTTGTGTTGTGGCATGAATATAAACGGGGTTGATCTTTAAAGGTTTGTCCATAGTAACTGCTTGAGGTGTTGGTTTGTTCTAATACACTACCAAAGACTGATGTGATACCTTTTACCAGAAAAAGCTGCATGTTAGAGATGAGTGGACACTCTACTGACCATTAATTCATTGTTGAGAGGTTTTTGTTCGGCAGCTGTTCAAGTTGCACAATTTCCACATCTTTAGTATATTAAGAGGCAACTGTTAAAATAAAATAAGTTTAAAAATTAGAATTGCACATTTGAGATTTATTTTTACAACTTGATTTTTATTTATGAATTAAACCTGTGCAGTGAAGGAGCATTAAACAAGGTTTCCACAATCCAAATGTCTTGCTTCTGCAACTGCTGTCTGAGATTAAATGTTACCAGTCTTGCTTTTTTAAACCAGTGCATTTTTCAGTGAAGCTCTCTTCAAATCTCTTTTGTTCATAGACTAAACAGCCTTTAAAATATTTGTTGTTTCCACTTGGAGAACTGCTTTATTTAAATTCATTAAATTAACCCCTCCACTACTTGAAAAACATCAAATTGTTTAAATGGATAGCAAAGAAGAGTCTACAACTTCCTGAAATTCATGAAAATGAATTTCTGATGGCATTTCAATATAATATTCAACCATTTAACTTCCATATTGAGGGACAGCACAGAAACTCCAGGTTGCTGCATTAGTGGAACTGAAGAAACCTGATTTCTTCTTGGGGTGGTAACAAGGTCTGGTTGTTACCTGCCTACACTGGGACAAGGTCTGTGGGCTTTACCTGGTGTCTGCTGCTGGGGCAGGTCACACTAACGCTTTCCATGAGACTGGAGCACTTGTTTGCTTTACCCAGGCTGGTTTTATGGATTTTGTAGGAACTTCATGTCCTTGATGCACTTGTCCTGCCATCCGGGTCTGCTTGGTGCAGAGCTACCATCATGTGGGGATTGTCTCTGTCCTGGGAAGCCAGGTGAGATGGGAGGGAGGGGGAGAACTCTGACTGGTGTTAGAAATGTTCTTAGCACCTTGTCAGAGGTGCTCTCAGCATCTTTCTAGGAAAGCTTTGACGCTGGGTGGTGGTGAGCTGGCTAAAGGAGAACTGCTCACCTCTCACATGGGCACAAGCATGGACTGTAAGAAGGAAGCATAAGGATGCAGCAGGAGTATGCCCAGGGAGAAGAGATGCTGCTGAGCTGTGGGGTAGGTGGAGCCAGGAGGGACTGCTGAGAAACGGCAAGAGGAATGAACAGCTTTATACTTCTAGCACCTTTTGTACTGGTTTGCACCTTCGCAGGGCTGAAGATGGCCACTGGCGGCATGAGCATCTCTGAAAGCTCCCTGTGTCTCCCCAGGCTGTGAGACAACTACTGCTGGAGGGATTAGTTGGGAATTTCACTTAGCAGGGATGAATGGCTGTCTTCTGGGGCTGGCTAATTAACAGGATTCTACTCTGGTAATTAAATAGCAGTTTGTTGAACACAACTCAGTTGATGGAATCTTTGGAAAACATAACAATTAGCAAGCAACAAATGGCGGCTTTGCCTCAAAAGCCTATCCCCAAGCAGTTGCTGGTATGGTTTTAACCTTTCATTCTCCAGCAATGAAGGTATTGATGCTATTGGTATTTAACTGTTTTTGTTGCTGTCATTGGACAGTTCGTTCTCTCTCTGCTGTTGCAGCAGCTGGTTCCTCTAGGGCTTCATCTGGGCTGCAGAGGTTTGCGATGTCCCATTTCACATACAGCTCTCTCAAAAAACTCTGGTGCTGCCTTCTTGAAAGCCAGTGCTGTGTTGTTCATGGGAGTGTTTGCTACCTTGAGAATAAACACTCTGCCCTCCTGCTGCCGCAGCAGTGCTGGGGCTGCTGGCTCAGCCGTGCATGCCTTTGCACAGCCCAGTCGTGCCTCCTCTGCATGGAGGAGGGTTTCCATCACGGTTACTCCATGCACAGCAGTACCGCCCTCCCTCTGAGCTACGTGTGTTGGAGAGATCATACAAAGCACGTGGGGTTTCCTCACCAGGCACTTGCACCATACACATGCACTGAAGTAAGTTGCAGCTGCATATTAAGGCTTTTCTCTGCCGGGCTTTCTCACTTTGTGCTGTTGTCAAGGGTTTTTTTAACTGCCTTTGTGAAGTGGTCATGGAAATGAGAGCATATCAGAGTGAATTATTTTGTCTATGGTGTGTTTGCACTGTGGAGATGCTTGTGGAGTTTTGTTTTGGAGAGCAGTGTTGAAAAAGAGCATAGGTGGAGCAGGAGCGAGTAGAGGAGAAGGTGCTTTTACATAGTGTGATGTGCCTTAGCAGTGCTGCTGGATTGCTGTGGAGAAGCGCATCAAAGTGTCCTCAATTTAAAGCTATTTCATGCTGTGGGCTTTGCTCGGTCTTATGACTGCTTTTATTTTAGTGTGGCAGGCTCAAGACAGGTTGGCACACTCCTCTCAGTAATAATTAGCTAACTTAATACTTCAGAGCATGGAACACAAAAGCTCTGCAGGTCAGAAGGGGCTCAGTCAATGCCCCGCCTTTGCCAGTTGATGGGAGTACAAAAGAAATCACTTTTTATATTCTTCCGATGGCAGGATTGACCAGAGGGGATGAAGCTTAGGAGTTGTCTTAAAACACAAATGTGTCTGTGACAAGAAAATTACTGATCCTGAGCAGCTTATATAAACCCTCCTGTCTGCACCTGCACAAGGAAAGGAGGTGCTTTTGAGTGGAAACTGCTCATGTCTTCATTTTTACTTTTTCCTCTCTTGCAATGATTCTCTTAGGACAACGACAAAGAGGAAATTACATTAGATAAACAGTGGGAGATCCCACAGCTTGCTGTAAAAGCCACCTCCGATCTTCACTACACTTTGACAGCTCTCAATTTCCTAATTTGACAAGTTAATGAAGACTGGATTGTTTCTGAAGCCGTACATGCCATGTTGCTCTGCACAGGACTACCCACATCAGTACCTTCTTCTCAGCCATCCCTGAGAGGGAGGCAGTGCGTGCTGGAGCCCAGGGCTGGGGGCTGGTGTTTATGGCTGTGGTGTTGGTGCAGGGCTCTGCAAGGTGCTTCCATGCCAGGATACAAGTGGACTTGCCTCAGGTGCGTCTGTCATCTCCGAGAAGCTGTCCTGCAGTGTTTGACCTCCTGGTCTTGGCTTGGCTGGCTGGTATGTTGTTTCCTTTCACTCTCCCTGAGGCTGTGTGCAGGCAGTGGAATGGGCTGGCCAAGCCAGCCAAGCTGAATACAGCAGGAGACGTCCCGCTTGCGCCTTCACGCACAGCATCCCTGGAGCAGGAGGGTGGGCAGGTCACCAGCGTGACCCTGGTGCTCTGCTCTGAGACACAGGGCTTTAAATGTGGTGTGGAAATGAGGTGTTGGGAAGAGTGTCAGTGGGAAGTGTAGCGCTTCTGGAGCTGTCTTGGGGTGTCTGCACAGCAGCAAGGCCAGGAGCAGAGTTTTGGGTGTTGCTATGCCCCCTTCTAAACTGCTCATTGCAAGCCCAGTGCCCACAGCATGCTCTGTCTCATGGAGAAACTGGGAGAGAAGAGTTTCCGTCACAATCCATAATTAAGCAAATCGAAGCAGGCTGGAAGCAAAGAGTGAAGTAGGTATCATTCATCATGCAAGGGGGCCTGGAGTATGTTCCAGCTCATGATGTGTAAGGGAGAGCAGTGTTATGAATAGGCATGGGATGAGCCCCCTTCTTTTTGGATCATGATTCTGTGTAATAAACATACAAGACAATTTGTATAAAATAGTGAGGATTCTTTCCTAGAGGAGTCACTTACAGCTATATTTGCACATCAGGGAATAGTTTGTAGGAACATTTTGTAGTTACATTTCCATACAAGTGTGCAAACAGAAAACAATGCGGTCGGCAAGTGATGGATGGTGCGTGTAAACCTCTGCTCTCCCTGGGCTTGTAATCATATTGCACAGCCTCCCATCATTCCGGGGAAGCATCCAGCCTGGCACACCATGGCTCTGCCTCTCCCACTGCAGCGGTCAGAGGCGTGGGGTGGATCACACTGTAAGCACCATATGAGGTAGATGGGATTTTTTCTGTGTGTCTTTTGGTCATGAAACAGTGGGTTTGGAGTAGGAAAACCCTCATCTAAAGGCTGCTGGCTCTTGGCAACATTTAAGAATAAGATTGCCTCTAAAAGGAGATAGTGGCCTGCCAGGTAAACTGTGAAATGATCTTGCAACATGCGGTACAGTCATGGTCTGCTCAGAAGTTTACTGGCTTTTGTTTAATTTGTGATATTTTTTGGGAGAATTCTTTTGTTTTGTTTGCTTTCAATATTTCCCAGCTAGCTGGTTAGCTGCTCTCTACACCCTACAGCAACAGTAGCTGCACTGCTTTTCTGGCCTTGTGTCTTGGATCCCCCTTCCCTTGCTCTGGCTGTATGGCAGGGGGTTATCAGGTGACTCTCCTGGAGCTCCGGTGGGATGCCTGACTGAAGAAGCCCACGGCAGCCCCTTCTATGTGTTTTCAGACTGATGTTCCTCCCTCTGGAGTCAAGCCAATGACAAAATGATGTAAGCATCCTCACTGCACTCGCCTCCATCCTTCCCGCTCCTTTTTCAGCTCTTCTAGCTGCTTTGTCCCCCCCGAGCATCCCTCTGCCCAACTCTACCTCCTTTGCTCACTACTGGAGTCAGCCTGAGGACCGCTGCTCCTCCCCTGCCTCCTGCAGTGTCTTCCTCATGTAAAGGGAAGAAAGAGTCAAACCCAAACCAGAGGGATGGATGTGTACCTGGGGGCCCAGCCCTTCCTCTGCAGTGTGGAAAATACCTGGTGGGGAGCAGTGAGGGCAGGGCAGGTTATTTTCACAGAATTACTAGGATTTAGAAGGGGTTTCCCTAATGGTTTTTATCAGAGATAGAGCCTGAGGAGGAGCCTCTTGACCTGGCTTTGGCACTGGGGGCAGCAGCCCCTCTGCATTGCTGACAGCCCATTTCCTACCCTGGTGCTGACCTGTGCAAATGGGGTCCTGAGTTGGTTGGATGCAGCACCTGATTTTCCTGAGTTTTGCCAGCTAAAGCAGAATCTCTTCCAAGCCGGTGCTGTGTGCTCCAAGGAGCAGAAAGCTTCTCTTTGCCAATTGCATCCAGACCTTAATCTTGGGGATTAGGCCTCCCTCTGATCCTCCTGTGAGCACGGGATGAGCTGAAGCCTTGAAGAAAAGGTCTTTCAAAAGTGTAGCTTTCCCAGCACACCTAAGCAGCTTGTCAGCACACCACAGGACAGGGAGCAGCATCTGACTTCAGCGTGTGCTCATTCTGCTGCTCTGCATAGGAGCCATCCCTGGCTGCCTGCATGGAGCTGCTCCCACTGTGCACCCAAAGGTGCCAGATGGAGCAGGGGTTGCTTTTGGCATGTGGCACCCCCAGGGCTCTTACTGCTGGAAACTTGTCGGAGCTGTGAGGAGGTGGGAGTTGAAGTTCAACATTTGCAATAGTTTTACTGTTCGAAGCCTGCAATGGCTTCCAGATTTAAGTAAGGGTTTTATCTTCCTTTTCTTTCTCCCTACTGAAATAAAAGAGCCATTAGAGATGGTCTGTAATATGGACAACACATGTTTGTCCAGTGTTACCATCTATATAGCAGCAGTCTGGACAGGAAAGCCCACCATCATCTAGGAAAATAAATTATCTCTGCTGCTTCCTTTGAAGGCTCTTAAGTTTTGGGCATAGAGGTTTTGGTAATTAAAAACTTATTTAATCTTTGGATTTTTTTTTTTGAGGGTTTATAAATGTAAAACCTGAACTGCTCGACAAGAAAATACCTGCAAAGAGTTGAAAGGAAACGGCCCTCCGGTGCAGGGCTGGCACTGGAGCTGCCATGAGATGGCACTGCAACACAAAGCATGGAGCCAGCCCGCCCCTGGATGAGCTGCTCTCCTCCCGACGGGTGTGCAGGGAAGAACCCTTCCTGGTGGGGAAAAAAATGCCAGGGAAGAGAAAGGTCTTATGTAAGGATAATTCTGCTATTAGTCAGGGGGAGCTGTCATGGAGCTGTGTCTGGACTGGACTTTTCCTTCTTACACAAAGCACATAATGCTGTAGGAATTCATGTATAAACAGTGCAAATAAGGGGGATGGCTAAGTTATGAACAGCAGTAAGGAAAGAGATTTTCTGTAACTGTTGCTGGCAAATTCAGAGTCTTTGATTTCTGGCAAGTTTCTGAGCATAACTCACGTTAAAAATAGCCACGGTGTAACTTACTTCTTGACTTGTGTGTTGAGCATACACAAAGCTTAAAGCTGCTGTGCCGCCTGGGTGTTGCTCCCTGGGGATGGGACAGGACCTCTTCCTTGGCTCTTTGCTCCTGACAGGATGTGGGAAAAGCACTTTGTGTGCACAGTGAGGCAAAGCACCGTGCTCATCACAGTGTGCCATGTAACACCATTGTGTTGGTGACATCTCTGCTGCTGTAAATGAAACGCTCTTGGAAAATCCTTTTGCCAACTGTTTTCCTTAAAGACAGGCAATAAGCTTGGGGTGCTGCATGCTACAATTTCTAGTTAATTTGTAATGAGACATACTAAACCAAGGAGGGGGGCTGTATATATTGTGAGCAGCTTCTCCCCTCTGTTGAGCTGAACAGAATATTGCCTTCCCCCTCTTCTCCCCACCTAGAAATCTGCTTTTCTGGTGCTATTGTCTGGGTCTAAATCTTGGAAAGTAAACACTAGCACATCAAATGCTGTCAAAAAGTAAGAGTGGGCTGTGTCTCCAGGCTTCCCTATGGCCTGGGAAGGTCAGGAGCAATTCTGGAAGAAGCCAGCAAAGCCCATGCATGTGTTGATGACCTGTACTTGCCCAGCACGGGTGCCCCTGCTGATGCCAGGCTGGGGGTCAGCCAGCTGTGTTACATGAACACTTCTTAATGCAGTTACAACTTCAGCATCCCCTGGCTGGTGCTGGGCAGACCCCTCCACCTCGCACCTTGAAACACCCTCAAGGGGTATCACACAGACCACCCTGGGGACCAGTGTTTTCCTGGGCTCCCAGTAGGAAAAGGGCTTTGACAAGGAGTAGCCTGGTGCTGGGGCCAGCTTGTCAGTGCAGAAGCTGTTTCATGGCAGTAACAGGTTGCAGAAATCCACCTGAGTTCAGACACCTGCCTGCTGGAACTGCTGATTGAGGTCTGCTCTTCCCAGGCACCGTGACCTGCATTATCCTTGCCCGTTACATAAAATGCAACAAATAAAAGCAGCCTCTTGTATTTGACCCACATTTCACTGAGGTCCTTTCTTCTTCCCATTTATTACCCACCAGAACATGCATTTCAGTCCAGACAAGGAGTAGAGACAGGACATTTCTCGTTTGGGAGCCCAGCCCAGCAGCCAGCGCTGGGCTGGGCCCTCCAGCACGGCTCTGATGAGCAGGCAGCTACCACATAGGCAGGAGCATTGGTCTGGGTTTTTTTTCTCTCCAAAGGCACAAAACTTCGTTTTTAAGGGTGTTTTTTAAATGGGACTTTGGGGAATAATTACCCTTTATGCTACTTCAAAGAAGTCCCCAGCATGCTTAGTGCTACCCTCAGAGGACTGTGCCTGTTAGGAAAAATACGCTGGCTTAAGCATCCTGTAAGTAATACGAACTTTGACTGATGGTACTTAGTGCAAATGGGCCAACAGTCACATGGCTGAGCCTCCTAATGCCATTCAGGATATTTTTGCACCAATTGCACCCTATTCATCAAAATAAAATGCCAATAAGTAAAGCATTACAATGCTTTCAGAGGGGATTGCTCAAAGGAAAGTAGGTGAATTCTGCCCCCAAATGGATATTCAATCTTATAACAAGTATTGTGTATTAAAAAAGGGAGCGCCTTGGCTCCTCGCCATGCTGCAATTGTAGGGCTAATGTTTTATCTCCATTATCTTTTGACTGCTCTCTCTTGCATGTGGACACTGAAACGAAGTGACTCGTGGCCAGCTCATCAGGATCTGTTTCATCAGGTTGTCCTCTGTAGCCTGTGGCCAGTGTCCTGATAAGAGCAAGGCAGGATGCTGCAAGGACAAGAGCTGGGGCTGCAAGGGCTGAGGGAACAGCTAAAGGTGCATCAGGAGTACCTCCTACTTGCACGCTGTGAGCAGCATCACCCAGCCCAGGCCTCCCTGGGACATGCTGGAGCTGTGCCGTGCTCAGCCCCTCTGGTGAATGGATTAACTGAATATTTCTTCCTTCCTTTCCATGCAAGCAGACAGCCATGGCCACAGCCTGGGTTCTCAGTGTTTGCTTGTGCAGTGCATCCTGAGATGTCTGGTGCCGATACCTGATGCTGCGAGATGCTGAGGGTGTCACCTGAGGGTGATGGGACCCACAGCTCATACCTGTTACAGCCAACCCCAATAGTATATAATTTTTAACAGAGTGGGGTTTTCTTCTGTCTACATCCTGAGCTCCTGAGTTCATGTTTTCCACCTTTTCTTCATGGCTCCAAGGATACAGCAGATACCCATACTCTTTTCACCACCCCTCCCCAAACCTTTTTAAATGGAAGCCAAGAGCCTTGGCTGTCTGACCCCAAGGACATGGCCCTTTAAAGAAGCCAGTTACCTGCAGTGAAGCCTGCAGGAGCTGGCAGCCCTATGGGGGCAAATGACGGGGTTGGGATCCACTTGCAGGGAGCAATTGCTGGATGCAAGGACCTTTGGCTTCACAGCTGAGCTGCCTGCATGTACCTGGCAGCAGCGCTCCAGAAGTTGGCATGGGCATTTCTGGCTGCTGTGGTCGTCCCATGGAGGTGCTTATGCCACCATACAAAGGACATATTGAAGGGCTACCAAAAGGCTATGTCTGTCATGGTGGGGGACTCAGACACCCGTAGGTGCCAATGGCAGATGCTATGCAGCCCATGGTAGCAGAGATGAATGGAGGGACACAAAAATCAAAGCCCACAAGGCAGGAGTGCAGAGAAGCTCTCCACTGCTCCAGGCTATTTCCAACCCAGTTAGTCCTGCTCTTGCCGGCTCTACCCCAGCAGCAGGGCCCTGGCTCATCACACCCATATCGCTGTGTATGCTTTTTTGTTTAAACCATTACAAATGTAAATGATCCTTCTCAATTACAAAAGCCTGTGCGAACTGGCATCTTTAAGGGAAACTCTGAAAGAGCTCCTGGCACGGCGCTTCTTCAAATATTTGGAAGCTTTGCTAAGTCTCCTGAAACAAAGGCAGGCACAACCTCCTGCTCCTCCACCGCCCTCCCTCCTGCAGAGAGAGCACTCTGCCAGTGCACACTGACAGGCTGTCACTGCTTGAACAGTGACTGGGTGACACGAGGGGTGGCAAGGGATGGCAAAGGCACCTACCTGGGACAATAGCAAGGGCTGCAGCAGCCCCACTGCAGCCCATCTCCTGCCTGCCCCGCTTTCACAGCGCTCCCACCAAGCAGCACCTTAGGAAACACAATCCTTGCTTCACTGAGTTCCCTCCTGATTTCCATGCTTTGGCCCTGCTGCAGTGGCATAATCTTCTTTTCCTTATCCTCCACCACCACCACATCTCTCAGGTAGCTCTCTCTGCACTAAAGATGCCCCGGGGTGATGAGCTGCAGTCTCTCTGCTCCCCACCCCTCAGGATGAGCTGGTGGCGGCACGTTCGTGCTCATGCTGAAAGGATGCTTGTGAGCCATTTGGACAGCACATCGCCCGGCCAGATTGGACCAGATGGAAGTGAAATGAATGGTTAAATAAATGCGGTGGCCGCCTGTACACAATGTGATAGTACTCCCAAAACAATGAAACATTATTTCGGATTTGAATCTGCTATCAATTGAGATTGAAGGTATTGATCCGAGCTGATTGCTGGGGATAATCAGAAAGTGGAAGGGTAACTGACTGTCATGTCCCTCATTGATCGGGCATCACAGTTCACAGCAGCCAACATTATTTTCAAGTACTTTGCAGCATCTCCTCTAATAAAGAAACACAGACTTACATGTGCTGCCGTTTAGAGTGGATGAGGCTGTTCTCAGCCAACATGTCATTGCCTTAACCCAACTGAGAGGTCATCAGCAGGAGAGTGCCAGGGCAGGAAAGCACAGATGTGTGTTTGCACGTGCGTCCCTGTGAGCCAACGCGGTGCTGTAGGACCAGCTCACTCCCTGCTGCTCGGCTGCAGCAGATATTAAAGTAGGGCCTCTGAGACAACGAAGGCACTGCACATGGGCCACATGCCAGGAGAGTGTGACCTCCTCTCTCTAGGTTGTTTAAAATGTTAAAGCAACAAATATTTTATACCATGTATTCCACCAGGGCTCGCTAGCAGCTGATCCAGAAAAACTGTCCTGGGAGAGGAGCAAATTGGGAAACATCCCGAGTTGCTGCAATCAAATCCACAAAAAGCTCATATAAAATTCTTACATATAATCAGAAGGATGGAAAAATTACCTTATTCCCTGCTGTGCACTTCAGATTAATATAACCAAACATTATTCAATCCTAATACTTACAGTGACCATGGAACATCTTTCCATACTTACTGGGAGCACACAGATAAAATGGCTTTTTTCCTAGAGGACATGTATCTGCTGTTGTTTTATAACAATCTGCTATATGTGCAGTTGGATTTTAATAATCTGTACTAGCTGACATTGCTGCTTCTCAAATGCAAGCTGTTTTGGGTAGGGTCTGCTTCCTATGAACAGAAGTCCAGTGAAATGAATGAGATTTAGTTGTTCAGTGAGATTCTTGTGCCTGAATACCTTAGTGAACCTGACCATGGAGTAGGTTCAGGGATAAAGGTCCTAATACTGACTCCACAAAACCCTAAGCCTTGGGACACCTCATCTCCCACAGCTCTGATGCAGAGGGAGGTCTCAGGTGCTGCTCATCCTGGATGTGCTGTGCAGATTCTTCAAGGATGCTCTCCAGAAGAGAGCTCTCTCCAGAGGAGCAAGGGGTTACCGTACATGCAGGATTCCTCAGGCATTCTCCACCTGACTGTTACGTACAGGCAGATTTGGAGGCTTTTGTGTGTTTGTCTCAGATTTCCCAATGTCTGACAGCCTGTTGGGAGCTGCCAGATGTCCAGAGACACTGACCTCGCCCGCTAAGCATGCATGAGCTCTTCCACTGCCGGCTCAAAAGCAAGTCCAGTGCCTCCATTATCATGGGGCTGGCCATGCACATGCTGCCTGGTCCTCTTAAGAGCATGCAGGAAGCCCAAGAGGTGCCAGTTTCTGCCTACACACCGTGCCAGCAGGACAGCCAGCATCAATCAGAGTGATGCATCCTGAAGTTCTCATCCTGGTGGGTAGGACTATGTGTTCAGGTCCTTTTAGTACTGTTTCAGGAGCAATATATTGGTGGAAAAACATATGCAGGAAGGAGCTAGTAGATTTTGTGCACATACATAAAGTGTTGCCTCAGAGAATCTGTGTCATGCATAGGGTCTTCTCCTTGAGCCCTTGCTCTAAGCCCCAAGGATGCCTTCTTGCTTATAAATTGGATTTAATGAGCTGCCCTGGACTGTACCCAGACTCCCTTCCCAGCTTTCGGATGGTTAAAGTCCATTTCAGTCAGTTTTGGGCACTTCTTACCCGCTGCGGTTGCTAAGCTGAGCCGAGCTGTGTTCCTCTCCTTGGGTTTCGGTCTGCTAAACAGCTCAGCCCAACCTGCTTTTGATTTGCTTCACCTAGACTCTTCAGTGCTGCTGGTGAACCGAAACACCCATCACTCGCTCGCCTCTCGAGGCTCAGGCAGGGCTGCCTGGGGACCGCGGCTGGGGCACAGGACTTTCACAGTGATAAGTGGCTGCCCCAAGGCAGCAGCGAGAGCGCCTGGGGAGGTTTCTCATCCCACCCAGGTTTCCTTTCCTGGAAGGCGAGGTGGCTGCTCTGGGGTGTGTGGGCTGCAAGAGCTCCCGGGGTGTCAAACCCAAACTGGGCTGACAGAATAGCTGTTGCCTGAAGCACCCAGAGCAAAACCCACCTGTATTGGAGGCTTAAAACGCTGGTTAAGCAGAGACGGCTGGTCACAGCCCAGGTCACAGCTGAGGTGCTGGCTCAAACCATGGTTAATGTGCAAGAGAAACAGAAAAAGTGCTATACTAGATAGGGTCAATGGATTGGTCACTTCAGAGAGAGGTAAATCCTAAAAACAGCAACCATGTGCTGCTTACCTCCTCTCAGATTTTGTGGGTAATCCCAACAGTCCCATATTGGTGGGTTTATGGAAGTGTAAGACTGGGAGCCCCTCTGATCCCCCTTTGAAGAACTTCTGTGAGGGCTTCCTTCATGCATGCTTCTGAGTGAAGAGCAACTGCATTCTTCCTGTTACATCTTGTGGAGAGAGGAGGAAGAGAAGGAGGAAGAGGAAGTCTGGCTGAACCGGCAGTTAGTACTTAAGGATGAAAGAGGAAAAGCTTGAAATGTTACAGCATTAATTTACACAAAATAAGAAGCATTTCTCCTTAGCGAGGGGATACATTGCAGTCATACAGTGCAGAACAAGCAGGACAAACACACACCACAGCTTAGCCAGACAAGAGTTAAACAACATCAAATCATTCCCCGTGATGGATCATTAAGAATGTGGAGTCTAAATGTGTGGTGAGATTACAGCATCGTGCAGATGTTCCTATACCCGCAGCTTATTTTGCATATTGCAAAGTATACAGATAATTCCTAGTGGCAAATGCATGCAAAGACTAGCCTGCCCTGCAGTGAATGCATGTTTGGATTGTTCTACAAGGTGAATTTTGTGGGGTGGAAAGGACTGATGTAAACTGATGCCTGGGATTACAGCTGCCTTTAGACAGCAATGGGACGTGTCTGCCTGTGACCTCTCCACCTTTGCCCTGGCGTGGTGCACAGGAGGGACAGATGAACGGGGAGTGGGATGGGTTAAATAAACAAGAGAGGGGGGACTAAGGAAGTAAATGCAGAGGTTTTCCATTTTTTACATATATATGCTGTAACTAAATTGAAGGCAACATTCCTCCTGCGAATTAGTGTTGCCACGGCACTGCACAAACTACAGCTGGAGGAAGAATTCAGGAAAAGTAATCAGCAGCACAATTAAGCAATCTGCCATAATGACAGAACACAACATTAGGGTAGAATAATCAGAAACATATATATTTTTCCCTTCTTGATTTTCATTTCCCACCCAATGATTTGCTTTTGCAGGGTGTATATAAAGTGATGCCTGATAAAAATGCCCGTATTTGTCTGCTGCAGCTTGCAGATCTTGCTCCAGTGAGGATGCTCATGTTAATTCTTGCCAAGCACTTGCAACTAATGTTATTTTTACTACATTTTTTTGAAACCCCAGTGTTTGACCTGCTTTAATCTTATTTTTTCCACCCTGTGTGTCTCATGTAAACCCCTTTAACTTAAAGGGTCCAACTCCTTTAAATGGAAAGTGTCATTCCAGACAAGAAAGCCTGGGGCTGAGGCCCCCGTGTTTCTGCCAGCCATCCCACCCCAGGAAGCAGAGCAAGGAGATGGTTCACACAGTGTTCCTGCAGCCTCCAGCTCCTGCTCAGGAAAGGAAAACACCTACACCTGTGAGCAGATAAGGAGAGAATGGGCCTGACCTGCTTCATCTGCACAGGCTGTGTTCCCACAGCTCCCCAAGGCTTTAAGAGCCCATGTGGAAGTTACGCTCCACTCCAAGGAGGTGGTTTGGAAAGGGAGAGGGGAATGTAACCCCTGAGAAAGGGGTCTTGTGTGTTTCAGCTTTCTGCCAGTTATGCATGAAGGCTGCTTAGGCTGAAGAGAAGGCAAGAGGGAAGCTCTTGTGCCACTGTGGGGAGGTAGGTCTTCTCCTTGGGTTCTGCACAGGGGGGCTTATTGGCTGCTGAGAAGGGGCTGCCCTGAAAAACTGGGAGAGAGGCAGTTTTGGTAGAGCCAGGAGTGATGGGTGTGCCCTGGGAGGCAGCAGGGGTTGGCAGGGGAGCTCAGTGGGTTTTGTGGTGGTGCTTCCAAAATGGCTAAGTGCTGGCAGTGATGTTACTGGAGAAGACTTTCCCTGTGGGGTGGGAGCGCTGTGGTGGTGGTGAATGTCCTTCCAGCATGGTGAAGCAAGTGGGGTTGCTGCTGAAGGTATCTGGATGGAGTGTGCTCAATGTGTGCTTTGTTCAGTAGGGCCATACCGATGCTCTGTTATCCTTCCACATTTGTTTCTTCCCTGACATTCACAGGTGGAGCTTTTGCTTATTAGTGCCTCTTATGGAAACAGTTTGCTGGTCCTAGAGGTTCCTGGGAGATGTGGCTGAAGTTTGTAACCTCTGGTGCAAGGGAGGAACTCGAGTTTTGAATTTAGTTATGGCTGCCAAAAACTTAGCTTCTACTGGAAATAAACCAGAGAATGTAAATACGTTCCATTGATGAATCTTTATAAGTACAGTCCTCTGGTTTGCATTCTGCATAACCTAATGAATGACAACTATAAAGTTACGTATTTTAGGAATTAAAATCTAATGATAATGAGATAAGAGCAGCTGGAAGCATGGTACTTTCATAACCTGGAAAACCTTTTTTTGCCTTAAGGAGTAAGTGTAGGATTAAAACCTTTCAAAACCCCCCAAGACTGAGGAGTCCAGTGCCCACTGATGTGCAGGAGGATGTGGATTCCAGCTCCTGTAGGCTCTAATAGAAATCTTAGTGCCACTTCAACCAGTTTCTGATGCTAGCTTTTGCATGGCCAATACGAATCAATGTTAGTGGTCAGGTTATGCTATCACTCAAGTGATGAAAAGCCATGTTACTGCTACCCCTTCCAGAGCTCTCGTGAGTTCAGCGCTGCTGTTATTCTGCATATTCCTTTTTCATCTGTGAGACTGTCTTACAAACATGCATGCACACATGTGCAGAGCTGTTCCTCCTTCTCCCGTGTGCCCGTGTAAGTGGAAATCATCCAGAGCACCATGTCCAGGGAACAGAGATACGTTTGCAAAGCTCACTCACAAAATCCCAAGCCATGGAGGAATGCTGGGTTAATTTTTCATCTGCGTATCAGCTGAAAGTAATGTATACCCCAAATTAATGCAGACAATGCCGAGTCTGGTCTGCAGGCCCACTGTATTTTTGAATTCTTTTCTACTAAAACTCAATAAAAACATGGGGGTGGAAGGTGCTGCTGGGAATTTGCTTTTTGTTCTGCTTAAGTGCTGTATTTCTCAGCAGTCTTCAAGTTTCTCAGCATGAAGATATTGTTACATTGGAGCTACTGTGGGTTTAACACAATTCTGAATTTGCAGGCAAATGGATGTATTGTGTTGGGGCTTATCCACAGAGGACTGTGAAACTACAAATTACAGCCCAGCTGCACTCTCTTATCTGGATTCTCTTTTTTTCCCCCTCATGTGCCTGAGTCCTCCCCTGTTCACAAGTAGAAGGTGCAAAGAGGAACGTGAGTGAGAAAAAGAGATAGAGGCCCAAAGTCAAGAGGGATGCTGACAGTGCAGAAACCCTGCCCATGTCTGTGGATGCTGAGTTCGAATGGGATGGGGTGGCTGGTGGCTTTTTTAAGCTGGATGGAGCTACAGTGTTTTTCATTAGCAGAGGATGTGATGCCTCTGGATTTAGTGGTTTTTGTGACTGCCTGGGGACTTTTTCCTGTAACTCCCTAGAAAACTGAGGCAGGCAGATCAGTATCCAACACATCCACTGAAGGTTTCTCCACCAAGGAGGAAGAAGGGGCTTTTCTTTTGAGTAACTAAATATGACAGTAAAACAGGGAATCTACTTACTTAACTTTCTCAACTAGTCTTCATCCTCATTCCTCTTCCTTGAAGGGAATGGTAAACCACCATCAGGTTCCTATGGGACAGGCAGGAGGTACTTGCACTCCATAATAGTTTGGGACAAGGCTTTACCACCTCTTCCTAGCCCCAGACAGGTCTTGCCTACCTTGTCATCACAGTTCCACAGGCAAAGCCAGGTGGTGTACCAGAGCCCTGTGCCTGCACACACAGGGAGACAGCACTGGAATGACGTCTGTCTGGGCAGAGGTGCGGCTAATATCTGGGACAAGCTCTTGGCCACCATTCTTCAAAGCAAAGGGCTGTATTACCTGATTTCAGTGACACTCTGGACACCTGCTAACCAGTAATAGGGTGAAAACTCAATGAACCCATGGTAATATTGTTATGTTTATTTGCTTCCTTTCAAATGGCTGTGGATGTGCAGGATGCTGACAAATTGGACCTGAACTCATGCATTTACTTGACCAGGAAATAAATATATTAGAGTGATAGTACTTCTTTGGACTCTTTTGAGACTTGGGAGTCACTGGCCACTCTGTTTGCTGGCTCAGTTTTAGCAGCAGAAATGTCCATGTGTTCTGTCAAAGCACTTTACTTGTGACAGGCAAAGTGCTGCCCTGCGCTGGAAAACCATTCAGAGCAAATAAATGCATTAGTTCAATGCAGAGTATCTTATATTTGATACACACCACTTCCTAATCACTTTACTGAACATCTGGATTGCCTTGAAATAAAACCAGTGCTGGCGTCATCTTCAATTTGGACATGGGTTCCATTTCTGAAGCCTTTTTCCAGGAGAGCACCTCTTGGGTCCTGGTATCGTTTGGGTTGGGTGCTACAGGTCTAATCTAGAGTAAACAAAATTAAGGGTTGCTTTGGTATCAAAGACCAGAAGGGAGTACACAGGAGCCAGCTGAGCCCTTTGGTACTTGTAGTCCAAATTGTAGAATCATATTAAAAAGTGCAGATGTACTAAGGAGCAGAGATTTTTCATGTCTTTGAAACACAGGAAAAGGGTCTGTGCTTCTTTCTCTTAGTGAAGTACCCAGTACAGGTGTGTTTGGCAGAATAAATGAGAATAACTAATTGCGACTGTTAACATGGTGTACTAGAGACTGAAATTAAACCCATTGTGTTGGTAAAAGACGTGAAAGAGCACATAGCATGCGAAGACAGTGGCTGCTCTGTGTGAGCGACTGAAAGCGAGAGCAAGGAGGATGACATAATGAACAAGAGATGCGTTCGCATCGCTGCAAGTTGGGCTCGGCTGAACAACAGCAAGAATTATTTGCAACATCCTTTTGTCAACATCTGTTTGTCTTTGAGTCCATGAAAGTGGAACAAATCTCATTAGCTTTTTTTTTTCCTTGTGTTGAGATTTTTCAGGATTGTTTCTGTTATTTTGGCAGCCAAAATGATGCTGGAATGTTTCACCTTTTTTTTTCTTCCAGAGTTTTTCAGTTGAGGTTTGTCACATAAATCATGAGGTTTTACTTCTGCTGCTAGCCAAATTGTAATCCTTATAAGCCTTTTGTTGTTTTGCTGTTTGTTTTCTTTCGTTAAAGCTCCAGCTTCTGAAATCATTAGAATGCATGAAAATCTCTACTTCTGCTGTCATGTGTTTGTTTTTCCTGGAGTTTCTAGCACTGAGAACTGTGGAGGAACTTTTGGGTGTCATCTGAAAGATGAAAAACGGAATTCATTAGACTTATTTTCTTTCTTTCTTTTTTTTTCTTTTTTTTTCTTTTTTTTTATTTTAAATACCAGTTAGATGATTTTTGGAAACTATGACTCATGATTTTGGATGTTTAGATTTGGCAACACTGTAGTTCTCCCTGCCGCTCCCCCGTGACCAGAAGCGTTGGAAGAAGCCATGTGGGGCTTGTCTCTGTGGACAAGTTGCAGCACAGAGAGCTGGGGTGTGAATTCACAGTGCCCTACTTACATTGCACAGATTCCACATGTGGATGAGAACTGTGCAGTACCTGCCCTTTGGAAGTGTTCTCAGGGCATGCCTCTATGAAAGCAACATACAGCATGCGGTTCGGGGGCCCTAGAGCTAAGAGCAATGCGCTCCAGCTCATGGGCCAAAGGTAGCACAGCCACTTTGTGCTTGAAACTGCACTTACTAGCATGGGCACAGCTCCAAGGTAAGGCTGCTGTGCAGATATTGAGCACCTCCTGGCCACACTGTGCCATGCTGTTGTAATGGGTGGGATGCCTTCTGGGTGCTCTGAGTGATGCTGAGCATCCTCAGCTCAGCCACGGGCTGGCTTCTTTTAGAACACATCTTCTGTATCTCAAGGGTGAGCTGGATGGCTGGTCCACTTTCTGAGTCTGTTGGAGGGGAAAGGGGTGAGGGCCTGTGTCTCTGGAGCTGGCCTTTGGCACACAGGAGAGGCAGGCGTGCTTGGCAGCAACCAATGGCCATGCAGGGAAAGCAATGACACCTGTGGAGGAATTCCTGAGGCTTGGCTGACTTGGTTTAACATTGAAATCTCTAAGGTCCCCATATCCAGATTGCTGTGAGCTCGTGTTGGCTCCTTGGAGCCACAGGGGAGGCATCAGTGGGATGGGGAAACTCTTCAGTGCCCAGTGGGGGACACATCAGATTAGCTCGGAGCAACCTTGAGGGAGCAGTTTCAAGTCCCTTTGACGTTGGGGTAGACCCGCTGAAAGGGACAGAGGGGAAAAAGGTCACTTGGGAATAATTCAGCCTGTGATCTATGAAGAGCTGTGGGGTACTTGCTGCATCCAAGGCCAGTTTCTAGTACCTAGACAGAACAAGCAGCTGCTGGGTTAGTACCTGGGAGACCAAGCTGGTACTGCTGGAGCAGCTCCTCTGGCCGGGCAGGAGGGAAGGAGCCCCCCAGAAAGGGTGCTCTGCCATAGGGAAACCAGGATGCTGCAGGGTGGCTGGGAGTGGGCTGAGGTCTCTGGCCCTCAGGAAGCTGTAAGGGGATTGTGTGTTTTCCAAAGCAGCAGAGACAGGATGCTTAGGGGTGGGAGAGAGACAGATTTCCTTCTGTTGTGAATAGACTGGGGGT